AATTTCTGTAAATGCAATACCAACTACTTGTGATCTCACCCCACCTATGAAGACTACATGCTACTTGGCTGTTTTGATGTAACAAAGGACACGTTGTATGTCCTAGTTCTTAAAAAGTATACAACTTAATAATCAGAGCGGGTTCAACATTTTAAATCCTTTTATACTTTTTTTCTCTAAGGATGCTGTCAAAGACCAGAATATGGGAAAACGTCAGAATGAAACATCCATCCAGTCGAGGTATGAAAAACAACATTAATTTTCACTGTAGCATGTGTTTTATATTCTGATATGACCTTAAACTTCTCTCCCAATAATTGATGTTCAATCAATAAGACATCTCTACGTTTTGCCTAAAAATAGCGTTACTCTCAACAGGTTTACGTCAGAGTTTGATCCCATGGAGTGTCTTGGCAGAGGAGCCTTTGGTCGTGTTTACAAAGCAAGACATAAATTGCTGGAGAGCCTTTATGCTGTAAAGGTTGTCTGCTGTGAAGAGTAAGTATATAAAGTTGTAAGGTTCCAGTGTGCATTGTGCCGAATTTATGCAAGTACTTTGTTTGCTGATTCATCCTCTTGTTCTCCTTTGGATCAGGAAATCTCTTCGAGAAATTAGAACATTATCAGAACTCCACCACTGTAACATCGTCAGATACTACACATTTTGGATGGAGGATTCAGGATACCAGGGGAATTCTGAATCAACGAACAGTTCAGCTGAAAGTTCGGCTGGTTACGGCTCTTCCCAGTGAGTCCCATGCACTTAATAACTTTAGTCTTCACTTTTTGTTTCAAGTTAAAGGTGAGTAATACAATCAATCTTCTCTTCTTTCTTTTCTAGGACTTCAAGTAATTTATCGGCAAAGTACTTCTATATTCAGATGGAGTTATGTGACACCAAAACACTAAAAGATTGGATTGCTGAGAAGAACACTGAGTCTCTGCAAGAATCCAAGAGAAGAGAAGAAGGTCTCAGCATTGCTCAGCAGATAGTCAGTGGAGTCGAATATATTCACTCCAAGAAGCACATCCACAGGGACCTTAAGGTGAGACCAGACTTTGCAGTGTTTGGCTGAGGCAAAGCTGATATAGACGCTACCTGTCTGTAACTTTAGGTGTAACAGAATTTAATATGTCGTCCAGTTTACCCTGACGAGGCCCAGCCAACACCCTGAGACTGATGCTGGTGTAAGACAGTAGTGAAACTGGTCAGATGGCGGATAACATAGAACTAGTATATTGTTCTGGTGTTCACTCGTACAGAGTAGCAGCACCACATACTAGACATTTGCAACTCACCACTATTTACCAATGAACACATGGTTATTCTAAGTATTAGGCTGGATCCTGCCCCCACAAGCCCCAAGTCGGTGGAATTGTGCTGCTGCTCGCCTGCTGTTTGAAGTCCAGTACACAGTTCAGTACATCATAGACTTCTGTGTTTGTGAACAATATTATGAGTGGGGGGCAAAGAAGATTTTAGACAGCATCACAATGACGGCTCTATTGCAAGATGGCTCCCGTGAACCAGTCAATATGTGGATTGTGCAGCCTGAGCCAGGGAAAACCCAGAATAACAGGTAGTTAAGATGCGTTTCCAGGAGGACTGGAACAGTTCTGTAGGTGACATTGGAGGTGACATTATCCAAGAAACTGGATTGATCTGGAATGGAGTTAGTATGTAGCAAAGTGAACGGAGCAAAACAACAGAATATTATGAGCTGGCTGCAGTTGTGATGTTATTTTTCTGCCTCGTAAATATTTGTGTACATAAATTCATTGTGAGTAATATCTATTCATTATTTCTCGACTTGTGTTAAAGTCAGTTCATTTTTTAAGGCCAGTATTCACCAATTATCAACTAGATAAACAAGGCTGTTAGTTGATCATTACACCATTTATTGACCCAATAAAAGCCACACATGCTGACTGTTTAGATTTAATGCTGGTTTCCCATTTTAAATCCATTCACTAGTTCAGGTGTTGACTGCCCATCACATGAGGAGCTAGATATTTATTTGTTTCGATTTGTGTTTTTTCATTTCAATGATAAGCCTGACAACATCTTCTTTGGACTGGATGGAGAAGTGAAGATTGGAGACTTTGGTCTGGTCACCAGAGATGCTGATGATGGCGATGCTTTGATGGAGAGATCAGAGCAAAGAGGAACCAAAACTTACATGGCCCCTGAACAAGTGAGATGGTCTATACTGACAATAACTTCTTCTAAATGATTGTGTTGACAAATTTATTCTTCTAATGGGCTTAATTAGGTAGACTATAGGTGGACATTAGGTAGACCTGTATGCCTACCACACTTAACAATGCTCCTGAATTTCCTGAATCTCAACCTCACCTATCTTTACTTTTTGCAGTGAGAGCTGTAGAATCAAAATGTTTACAGCAAATGTGTTACAACTTTTATGCCAATAGACCATTATTCAGCTGAAAGCTGAAGCTTATTTTAGTTAATGAGCATAACTAGTTAATATTTAACAATGATTAGGATAACATGAAGCTGCTGAAGTGCCTATTGTCAATACTGTGTTTTTATTCTGTCACAAAAGAGGGGGAAGAACTATGACCGTAAAGTGGACATATTTGCTCTGGGGTTGATCTACTTTGAAATCCTTTGGAAACTCTCTACTGGCCACGAAAGAGGAGTGGTGAGTCCATACAAATAGAAAACCAGCTTCTGTCGGTATACACCAGTAGTTGATTTATTTTCAGTATGGTGTGTAGCAAAATCTATGTACTGTAGATCACAGATATGTTGGAACTTCATTGTTCATCTTTTAATCTGTCTTTGTGTAATTTTTCTTGTACTCATTTGTAACATTCAACAGAGCACAATTTTAAGTATTTGTAATTTGTGGCTAACTTGTTCTTTCATCACCTTATGAATACCAGGTTTGGGATGATGCCAGAAGTCAGAAGCTCCCTGAAGAGTTTGGACTGACCTTTCCCCAAGAGGTAGATTACCATGGACAATGAGCATCAGGGTGCCCGTTATTCATAAACCGTACAAATTGGAAGTACTACTTCACTTGAGTATTTTCTTCTCATGACACTTCATACTTCAATATTTCAGAGGGAAATATTGTACAATTATTAGATTAAGTTAAATTAGTTAGTTTACAAATTCCGATTTTTGCACACCAAACATGAAAATGTAGTACTGCTGAAATGATTATCTTAGGAATTGATTGACATAACAATGTAATGTGAGGATTTAAAGATTTTTTGTATTAATTTATTTGTTTAAATCGTTATGAAGGTCTTACTTTGGACTCTGGGTATTTGTAACAGCATTAAAATCTATATTCAGAATTTTTACAAACCAAACAAACAGTTAATTGATGGAGAAAATAGTCAGCAGATTAATCCGTAATGAACCATATCTAAGGCCTCAAAGGATTCGAGTCAAAACAGGGCTGCTGCCGTCTGTATGTGAATAATGTCAAATATCAAACAGTGTTTTGAGTGTGTCATAAGTTCATATATTGGATATCCTGTGAAGTGGAGCTTCAACAATATGACATTTTCTATTATTGTTGGTACAAATATCTCAGTAGCACTTGTGTTTGTTCTTTTTTCAGAACCAAATCATTGAGTTAATGCTGAATGAGAAGCCTGAAGACCGACCCGAAGCAACTAAACTGAAGGCAGAAATGGAGATGTGTGCTCAGACATTAAACACACAAAATATGCATCAGGAAGATGCAGCTGTCTGATTATCACAAGGAATTGTGATAAGTCTTTACCAGCATATGGAAATGTATCTGTTATAATGTCTAATGTTACCAATATGATTTTGGAGGGACATGGTTCACGTACTGCACTTGTATAACTGAGATCAGTACAAAGCTCTTCACAAGGCCTCACGTTCACTCCCTCAAACACACAACCACGGGAACAGTCGTGTGTTTGAGGCTCAAGGACACATCAACTTCAAGACAGAAGCTCAAATGATTAACCATTCAAGTATTGAAGAAACTGGAAAGCGGTCCTAGTAGTATAGGTTTTAATAATCGGAACGAATCATGAAATCAAGTTTATTGTGATTTTAGAAAATAACTATTGGTTCTAAATAATCATGTGCCGATAATTTCTGTGTCCACAGTTGACATTTTATTCTATACTGAAACGGTTGATGACTTTAAAGTAATGTGACATGATGTCACATTACAGCCTTTGTTTTAGAGTGTGTATGTTAATAAGGGTTATCCTGGATAGAATGGTCAGATATCTATACACTAAATGTACATATACAGTATATACACACATACTATACTATACATACAGTATAGACAGTACAGTCACCAGACAGAAAACTTTGGACGGGCATCTTATTTCTCAAGGTGGGGCCCTCTTTTTGGATTGTTTGTTGGGGTTTTGCATACATTTGTTATAACAAAAACAAAATTGAGAAATAATAGAAATATTGACCATATTTTATTATATTTCAACAATATTGTTGGACAGAATTCACTGGTATATTGATGAATTAGGTTTTTATATTGTGTGAGTGGCTGCTGCACCTGTTGCATCAGGATTAAAGGTTTACAATATGGTTTTGATGTTATCTTCCTTTTGATGTATTTTTCCTTAGCCAATGTATGCACATTTTTTATTTAGCCAATAAAAACACAGCATTACAGTAAAATGTAATTACGTGAACAAAAGACTTTCATTATGCCGTTACAACATTCTGCTTGACAATAATCATATGACATGACAGCCAATGACAGTATGAAAACGGAACAGCTAAGAAATATTGGAAAAAATAGACCTTTGGCTAAAATAGAACTTGTATTCATGCACATCCCAGCATTCATTATATAAATGTGAGAAAATTATATTGAGCTTTTTCTAACTTTTCCTGTACTCCCTCTGCGTTTTGTTACGTTGTGTCATTGCAAATTGGTGGTCATTGGGTGGACGGAAAGTTCACCAAAGTTCAACTCCATGAAAATGTAAAGATGAGAGTTTGCTCCACCACTGGAAGCAAATGTTTTTATCGCCCCTTTGCTCACAGAATGAAAGTGAACAGGAGGCAAATGTTTATTACGTGCATGTGTGACAGTGCCTTTAATGATTTGATCACATGCATGTTAAAACACAGTGTTTGATGATGAATTAGAAAAAGTGTTTGTTTGAATTTTGTCAACTAGCAAGATGATGACTGCACACAACAGCAGCAAAGATGTGGAGAGAGTTATGTGCCCACAAGGTTAACGTGAAACACCCACAATGTGATCCAACGTGAAACTCATGCAATATGTTTTGGTAGCCTATCATTACTTTTGATACTAGCATTGATACTCAAATCAAGACTCAGTATTAGTAGTATTAATACTTAAGTTATCAGCTATTTAAAAATGCTTCTGGTGGATTGTTGATAGTCATTCTAAGTAATTATAATGTCAAGTCCAACAGTGGTTGAACTGGCAGTCAATGCCTTGTGGCCTTTCTGGAAGTCATGAGGTCTAAAAATAAAACAAAGTAAGATAATAACAAAGCATTGTTTATTCTATCATGGACTGCTGTAGTGGCAATTTATGAAACAGGAATTTAGGAATGCTGGAATTCAACATTTCAATAGAAAGACAATAATGAACATGGGAAGTGTTTTAAGCAGCTGAGTTTCTTTCATTGTATTCCACAGACAGGTTCAATGGTTGCAGGAGGCAGTAATGCACCTAAAACACTGGTTGCCAACCGCTACGTAAAATCAAGATTAGTTCATTAGTATTTAAGGAGTTGAAAGTTTATAAGCCAACCAAAGTGTAAATGATGTAGTCTGTAATGAATTTGATCACATTTGAAGGGAACCAGGCTGAAGGTACCTGAACAGAACAAGCTACTCTCATCTGGACAAAGCAGGCAGCACTGTGAGGGACATGACTTTTGATCAGTGCTTTCAATACAATCGTAAGAAGATATAAATGGCTCATTCTAAGGTAACATAAACACAACGATTCTTATTTCCAGGTGATTAAAGAAATTATACTTGTTATATTCCATTGCTGCCAATCCCCCTAATTGCTACACACTGTACCTTTAAAATAGATATCTATTTTAGATAACAATTAAAACAATTATTAACAGAGAACATTAACAGCTTCCAAAACCAAAACAAACACCTCACTTTGACTAAAGGCTGCTAACACTTTTGCCAGTATTACAATTTATGGTTTTAATTTATCCACAGTGAGTTCCCATCTACACAGTTTTGATATTTGACACCACGTGAGGGTGCCATGTTGTGTAATGTTTACGGAGAAAACGAAACTTACTGAGGGTGAGGCTGCATTAAAACAGCCCGCTGGTACGTGGAAGTAGAGCTGAGATGAAAACGAAGAAGAGCCATCGTTAGTTAGTATTGTGAGGTTTATTCTTTGCTGTGTTGAGAGGGGACGTTGTGACGGTTGAGTTATGTATAATGGCCGTAGCTAAACTCAACGAGTACACACAGAGAGAGCGCTTAGACCTGAGGTATGAGGACGTTCGGGCTGTTGGCCTGGATCACATTAAGACGTAAGTTGAACACATTCTCTGGTGCGATTTACGACACGAAAATAATTGAATATAGTAGGATTTGAAGAGATGTCGCACTTAAATAGAACATGCTATTGAATGGGAGGATAGAGGTTTCTCTTGTTTTTTGCTTTAAACATAGGAAATAGGTGTTAAAGCCAATCGTTGTCCTCCTCAGGTATGTGTAACGCACTTTATCAATGTTGGTCAGCTGTTATACGTTAAAAGAACACATACAGTAGGTGTAACATTAAATAAGCAGTGTATATCTTCACAGTTGAGTGGGATATTATTTATTGTTTTCTGCATATTGGAAAAAAACAATAGGAACATTTTGATGAATTTGGCATGAGTGTAACATTCCTTTAATAAAGACTAATAGATGCAGGGGTGCTGAACCTCAATATTTATAAGTATAAGTATTTACTGATCTGTGTCTGCAGCATCGGGTTAGATATTGAAAAATAATTGTTTTGGAATAGACACCCAACTCAGGTATTGTGTTGACACCAGTAGTGAAATATTAGAAATGATAACCATGTCTAGTGCTGCTAATATAATGGTAATGCACATATCACAGTGTTGTTCTCATGTAATAAAATGAATAACTCTTTACTAGTTGACAGGCTGCAGGGGGTCCAACACGACCTCAAGTTATCAACCTCGCCTGCAGATTCAAGTCTTTGTGATGCAACCTCTCACCACATTCTGGTGTCACCTTTCTTGTTTAACAAAGTTTTATCATTTATTCTCAGATTTACCGTGAGAGCAGTGGTGGGTGGTAAGGCATATTCTGATGGTGTGGGGAAGAACAAGAAGGAAGCCAAACTAAATGCAGCTGCAAATGCCCTGAGTGTCCTGTTGGGGGAAACAATAGACTCTGTAAGATTATTATACCTCTTTATTGACTCACTGCATGTGTGAATTTTAGTATTCCAAAGTATAGAAAACTGATTCATGACACTCGTCTCCTCGATGTATATTTGTTTTTATCCCGACAGACAGAAAATGCAACAGAAGCTTCAACTGCACTAGCTCATCAGACAGCTTTCACTCAAGCCAACTATACATGTTGGCTCAATGAACATGGTCACAAAAACAGGATGACTATACGGGCTGTGGAGTCAACCAGACAGGGACTAAATAGTACTACTCCGTAAGCCTCTTAAATACATTCTAATTTGTAGCTATTTTGTCCTGATTTATAAATGCATTAAATGAAAGTTTTATGATATTAGATGCTGTAGCTTCGTGGTTGGTGATAAGGAGTATCCAGCTGCCACTGGGAAAACAAAGAAGGAAGCTAAGGAGGAAGCAGCCAAGCTTGTATATCTCGAGATATATGGCAGTACTACAGAGGTAAGTAATGATGCACACTGGTTTATTTAGACTTAATGGAAGTCCTTGATAACCATTGTGTTTTAAGGTGCCACATACTCAGCGGCCACAATCCACTGTGTGAACCATCATAAAAATTGTACTTTTGTTTTTTTTTCAAGACTGCTACAGACAACCCTACATCAGCTCAACAAGAGGAGGTTTTGGATATCTGGTGAGTAAAACACAATGGCAGTTTAATTTTCATGACTTCAGTGTAAAATATTACTTGTTTATTACAGTAATGTGACAAGACGCATCAGTGTGAACGTTCAGGACAACAGCTGTACAGAGACAAATTTCATTGGAATGGTTGACAAATACTGTCAGAAAACAAACCGCTGCCATTCATACGTTGAAGAGAAGAGATGTGGTCCACCTCATAAGCCTCAGTAAGTATGAACCTAAACCTCTGTTCTCTGAATAGACACCGCAGACACTCTGTTCTAACTCCTGATTTGTTTTCAGCTTTCAACAATATTAAAATGTTTACACAATGATCTAAATAATTTACTCTTTTTCAAAACACAACACAGATTTTTCTACAAATTAATAATCGACAAAGAGGACTACCCTGAGGGTGAGGGTAAGACTGTCAAGGAAGCCAAACAAAAAGCAGCTCAGCTGGCCTGGTCTGCTCTCCAAGAACAGACAGACTGGGACAGCAAGGTATTCCATATTTTGTACTTCTTTAAATCATTAAAATATACATGCAGTTGCCAGTTTATTATAAACACCTAGCTAAAACGAATACAACAGTTCCATGTAGCACCTAATAAATTGGCAGATTAGGATAGTTTGGTAGAAAAGTAGAAGTTTTATCGCAGTCGAGATCTAAATATACTGCTCACAGACCATATTTACCACAACCTACATGCTTTTATTTTGAAAGCCTTTCCCATAAAACACTCAAGCAAGACTGTTTATTTTTTCATTTGAGTGATTGCACTTCTACATTATTCTGTGCTGATGTCTAACATTATGCCAAACACCTTTTCTGTGCGTTGCAGGTGTCCGTCAGATCAACCGAGGATGGTGGACCACCTCTGTTAACTGCCCTGTAAGTCACTTATTGTCATTAGGAGCAAGCCATGGAGTTAAATAACAAGAAGACTGTACTCATGTCTCACATTGTATTCCTCAAGGGAGTCCAATAATTCATCATCACAAAGCATGCCGACTGGAACAGGTGGCTCAGAAATATTCAAAGACTCATCCAACTCTTCCAAGGATCAGGTGTGCACTTTATATCTCAATCGTACACATTCAATCTTAAATCCATCCTCTCATATTCTACTTTCTCTGTATGTGGAAAGGGACGACAAAATAATAGTAGTATTATAAGAGCAAGAACGTTTCGTTTGTCTAATGAAGGAAAATAGAGAGCTGCAAGTTGGGAGAGAGTCACTCCAAAAGACTCTATGCAACTTGGTTCATTTATTGTAGCAGACAACACGTTGTTTGTTCCACTTCTTTAAGAGTATACAACTAAATAATCAGAGCGGGTCAAAATTATATATCCATTTATTCCTTAATTCTCTAAGGATGCTGTCAAAGACCAGAATACAGGAAATAGTCAGAATGAAACATCCATCCAGTCACCATCTTTTCATTAAATGAATTTGAGAAGTTGAAAATTTGGGTCGCGGCTTGTCATTAAGGGGTGATGGTGGGTCCCGCAGCCAGACCAGTTGAGAACCACTGCACTAGTTGACTGTTGCACACTAGTAGCAGCCTTGTAAGTGCAAGAAAGTTTAGTTTGGGTCCATAGCTGTGGTATAACCAGATGCAAAATGAAAATAGTTTGACTGAGGTGAAAAATTA